GAAAAATAACACATGCTGACCCATTGGGTCATATTAGTTCTACGTCCTTGTAATGAGATGGACATTATATACTGAAGCCTTTTTTTTCTAGCTGAGTAGTGGAAAGAATTCGGCTTATTTCACCAGCACTATGTATTGCACAATGAAGACGTTGTAATTAAGGCAGCAACATGACTGCAGCAGACAAATAGTACATTTTAGAATAATATGCAATCGCGCTATAAGGTACGATTAACTCATATCATCACTCATTGGCATGAATGGTATTGTTACGGGAATACTACCATATGTAAGGGGACTATTCTCAACACCTGTCAGTGGTGTCCCCTACGAGCCTCCAACTCTCACTGTAGAGTCTGCAGCGCCGAGATTTAGTAACAAAGTCCTCGCTTCGACAAGGATTTTTAATCGCTTTCGCGGTCTGTATCGTCTTCATCTCTCAACATATCCCCCTATCACTAATATCATGAAACTAACCATGATCAGATCAGATGGTAGGGTCGGAGCCCTACTCATTACCCACCCTTAATCATGGAGGAGAAGCCATCCGATGAGTTTCCGGAGCGTACCCAGCACCCGATACGGCGATGGTTGATTGGATCAAGTCAGCCTCGACTGTTGCAAAGAAGGGAGATATAGATGAATATACGCACCTCATGTGGTCCCGGTGTCTAGGCCTCGCCTGGCTGGAGCTGCAGTTTCTTTTTGAGACCTTTTCCCGTGCACGCAGTTTCCATTGCTACCATTTATATTTTTTTGGGTAGAAGGTTCCGTTGAAAAGTTGGCCGAATTCCACGGGTAAATACTGAGCTGAATGGCTATTCATCAAGGGGAATTGTTCAATGATCTTTCAAGTAACAAAAGAGAATAGTATCACTGTACAAGGTGTGGCCTGGGTCAGAGAGGAGCCCAATGTGCTAGATAGTCAGACTCAATTAGTACAATAAATAAACACACACTAGTAAGTTCGAGAACAATAGGGAGGAGTATTTAGTAGGTATTCTGAGTGAAATGAGTTCGGCAGATTATGGTCTTGTATTCTTTGGGACTCTTTAGAAATTATTGAATCTTATCTTATGTCGAACTCTTGAACTTCCGAACTCTTATACACTTAATCCCTCGGAATGTGAGTACCTCTCGTACTCTTGACAGGGAGCCCCTTGTTAAGTTTCATATCTTTATTTTGCTTCCTTGAATTTTTCTTCTACCTGCAATCATTCTTCAAATGAACCAAGTTGTGACAGAAGTTGCACTAGATTAGATCATCTTGTCTTGGAGTATCTCTCACCCTAACATCTGATGTGTACTTGATGAATTTAGATATGGCCTCTTTGTAGGACATATCGCGACATCACTTTGCTAGGTCAGGCTACATGCTTCGGACATGAAATAGTAATAGATGTTTCATATAATGATTGGTATCAGCCGTAATCAGGTAGTTTTCTTAAAAGTTCTGATACCTCTTCTTGTACTTCATAGTATATGAAGAAAGCGACGAGTTCTCAGGCTGGAAATTTCAGAATCGGGTAGTACTTGATAAAACTGTGGAGTGGATATTGGATTGAGATATCGAAATAATTTTATGAAGTATTGAATGAGAGTTGTCACTTTGCACTGTTCTGATATCAGTAGTAATTTTACTTTTCAGCCCACTTCCCACACCACATTAGCACAATTTTATTCTGAGCATGTTCTTCTGAGAAAGCTGCGGAAGGTTGGGTGAGAAATTTGACCTTTTTAATGGCGTTAATCTATTGGAAATAGTTTGAGCTGGTTAGCTCTGGTGCAGGAGGTACTCTCTCTATTCCATCGAGACGGATTGAGATGGTCCATATTTCTGTTTTCCTTTCGATTCTTTAAATGAGTCTGAGTTCTTCAAATAAAGTAGATTCTATGCCAGACATAGAAATTATAGTGTCTCATTTGTTTCATCAAACTTCGTTTTGGCCACTAGGGAGAGCTTACTGGGAGCTAGTGATGACATGGTGGCCTTGTGCGAGATGTGCTTCCCAAGTAGATTAAAATGCGTGGACGGACGCAAAGACAAGATGCACAGAAATATATGTCGCGGTAGCTCAATGCGGAAGCTTATTAGCGGCGGAAGACTCGATAGGCTAGTAACATGTTCTAACATAAAAACATGAAGACTATTTTTTTAAATTATTTAACACTTGCCAGCGTACAAAACTAGACCAAAGGGCTAAGTGCCGGTCAGCTCAGTCTGTAAAGATTAGCTGACGTGCCAGAACCCCATAACAGCCTAGCAAATTCAAGGTGAGGCCCAAACTCTGCTCAGCACCTCAAAAACTTGTAAGAATTTTGGAAGGTCGACTACCTCTGCCAACTTTCTAGGTGACGCCATTGCGATCATGACTCCTTCACATTTTAGCCACTTTAAAAGTTTTCACAGCCCAGCATCTGTCCCATCTTCATTCTTAGGCTTTAATTTCATCATAGAAAATTCATACTGAGTACCCCAAGTTTGGCGTCCTCCGATAATTCCCAGCCGACAACAGTGTTGGACGAAAGGGTCGCCGGTCGTATTATGTCTCTTTATTCGATATTAAATGTGATTTCAAAAATTGTTTGGTATCTTGAGGGAAGTATGACAATTGTCTTAACCTGATGTCGACGTGAATGGTCTTGATAATTTTCTTCGTAATTTGTGTCCTCTAGAAACATCTGCAATCCGTGAGTTCTATCTGTCACAGTTTAAATATGAAATGCATGGGGAATCTTGAAAGTATAATATTCTAATTGTAATTCTCTGTTGATAGAAACTTTGCCCCTGAGAATTCACGTATATAAAATCTAAAATATTCCACTTCGAGAAGGTGCGCTCCATCTGAATGGTTTGGGCTCTTCGAAGACTCCCTAGAAGATTCTTAGTACATTCGTCATCTACACGAACCTTCAGTTTATTTCCGGGAGGTTCACAGATAATCTTCAACGCTGTTTGAATTCCAAGATCCTTCCCGAAAATTCCCCTAGAGTCATTTCCTACACTAGCCAGCGTAGGCTGCAGGAATCTTTAGGCTTAACAGCAGTCACGCTGACTAAAATTAGCCAAGCACTGCTACTTCAGACAAGAATATCACTCAGGCAAAATCGATTCAACCGCTGGGGGATGACTGAGTCATGGAAATGGCCATTGATGGCATTTGTCGAGAAAAGTTGACAGGGAATGTTACTTAGTCTGCAGGTTGGCAAGGTTAAAGCTGTCCACACTCTCGGCACTTGAGATAAACATATCACGCTACATCGCTAAAACAAACCATACATTCTCTCTATGTCGTAGCCGGCAAAGGCAAATTCTTTACCTTCCAGTGGTGCCGGTGTAATCGCTTAGCATGCTCCGCATATCTGGAATAGCCAAGAAGAATTGCATCCGAATCGATATCAAAAGCAACCTTAAGCATATAAAAAATCAACGACTTCTCCTCAATGTCGGACCTATCATTCTCACGCGAGTCCTTTATTTCAATCTTACTACGCCACCTCACCTCAAATACCGATAACGGCGTTACTAAAATTGCTATCTGGAATATGCCTCATAAAAAATCGACTATTTCTATCTAGCAAGCTACGATGTTATGTATACCTACTAGTAGAAAATTAAATCATAATCAACCAAGCTCGGGTCTTGCTCTATAGGAGACCATTGTCTAATGAGGCTTCAAATCTTGAGGGAGGACAGGAAGCTGGGACGTGGGACGAACGAGTTAAGAGGTCACAGATGGGCAAGCTGGGAAGCATATTTTTCGATTCTTATCGACTTTAAAACTTGTTGTCGATATTGTATCTGTATGTCTGTTATCACAGACATTGGAAATAATTCATGAGATTGCTTAATGAGTGGCTAGATTTGATTCCGATATAATATTGTAGAAGACTTGTCCCAACTATCAGAGGGCTACAACGTCTTTATCTATCTACAGATAAATTCCCCATATTCCAACCACGCTAGCCATACAGGACGTAGCATATAAAACTTGATTTGTATCATCAGTTTAGGGCTGAGGTTTACTGTGCATATGCTACTCGAGTCGCATGTCTGACTACTATGCGACATGCTTAGGTATCAATCTAACAACCCACACCAAAACCGAAACTACTCACAACCCTGATGATGACCCCATGAATAATTGGAACAGTAGCCTGCAACATAGCAAAATTAGGCTAGATATCGTTGACCAGGACCTAATCCGAACAGATTCTTTTCGACTTAAGGGTGTCTGTGTGTGCTGAGGCGATAATTTGGAATAGTTCTACCGATTTTCCAAAAATAGGTAACGATTGAAGATGTTTTGGTCCGCCTTCTGGTCGTCATCTCCCCGAATGAAAGTTTGGGTAGCCTGGACACCTACCCCACTCGAGAAAGAGAGGATTTTGAGGTCATATTTTGCGCGACGGCTATATACAAGATGACAAAGGTATGTTAGGGTAGCCAAAGGTTTTTCCTGTGTTCTCTTTGATGGATATACAAAGCTGAAGGAAGGATGAAAGTCTCTAGCTCAAAGGTCTCGAGTTGTATCAGCGAATCCACCAACTACATAAGCGGTTTACATGTCAAGCTGAGTTAAAGTCGTATATAGTCCTCGGGAAAGGATCAGCCTTCTTCATGTCATGCTCTATGGGTGGGGGTTATTTTGGTATCAATGATCTACAGGTGCTAGGCTTGTGCCCGTCACAAATAGATATTCACTCATTCTGGACCGTAAATCGAACTCCGTAGATCATCATCTCTGTGATGATACTTTTTTCAATCTTTTAATTTTTTAACGTTATGCTTGCTCATAGCACAATCGTAAGGTCTCTTGTTGACCAGCTCAGTCTATATAAACTACCCGACGAGCAGCGACTCCACTTCCTCTATATCTTTTAAATATTTGGTGTCAAAGTCACGTGAACATGATCTATGGAATACCTTGAGTTATTCATCAGTGAAAGCATTTCTCAATCTAGTGAGGGCTAATGAGACCAGGTCACCAGCTACGTCAATGGCCTGTAAGATGATTCCAGATTTAGGCCACCACCTTCTGAAACGAGAATTGCAACAGCGTCAAAGACTGGTACGCAAGTTATCAGGAAATGGACACGCAGTAGAGTCGAGGAAAGTAAGTTGTGGGAGTCACGAGATTGACATTCTTTTTGGTGATGGATGCGATGGTAGCGGGATAAACAAGGGGGAAGTGGTAGGAATTAGTAGTGGAATTATGGAAGGAAGAATTGTAAGTATTGAAGACATTATTGCACAGGAAAGAGGTAGTTGTGGTAAAGATGTATAGCCGTCGCACATGAGGATCAGAGAGGCATCCCGAGCTATAATTGTTAACCTGACAAAAGTTATTGAATTTTATATGAAAGCTTCCGCGCGGTCTCTCTATCCTTCAACTGCTGGTTTGACTAACTCAAGTGCAGTTATCGTTGAACCTCTTGGCTACTCTACTTCTCTCTTGCACGGAAACCTCATCTACCATGAGTGGAGGCATGACCCCAACAAAAGCAGTAATCATCGACTCTACAGGCTTATTTCCTATCCCTCTATTAGCCTCTATACTTCGTGCACGAATAATCACTGCCAAAGAATCAGGCTCATTCCATAATCTCGGCATTTTAGAGTCTTCTGTCGAAGATAGTGTTAGTAGCCGTATCCTGAGTTGCCTGGGCATGGTGAGCATCTGTCGGGTTTTCGATATACAAGGAATGTGGGAGGTCTTTGCAGAAGTAGGCTTTGTCGATTCTGCACAAGAGACATCAGCTTGTCATGGAAGTCCGGGAATCTCGGAAAACCAACAAAATGTTGACTGCGAGAAAGCCGGGCTAAAAAGTTCCAGCTTGCCACGGACACCGCATGAACGTGATTTACTGTCAAACGAATCAAAAGAAGGCCATGAAGGAATAGAAATTCTCATCATAGATAACATGAAAACGCTGATTTCTGAACTTATGACACGCAAGGAAAAGTCTGAGGGTACTCCTGTCGCCCCAACTCTCCCAAATTGGGCGAGTTTAACCAAGTTCAACGCTAATAAATCCTGCAGCACATGACTGCTTAACGTTACTCTCTCGGTCGATATTCAAGTTTACGACGCAGAGAAACATTTTGACCCTCATACATAATACTACCGTATCTCATCATACAGTCAATCCCGAAACATTCAACACTGTCTCCATCTTCGCTTCGAATCAGTTCAAACCAGCATTCGGTCAAGTCTTTTCTCAGCTCTTGACAATTCACCTATTCCTTAGTTCCTTGCCACCTACTACCAAAAATGACGATCTAGATGTTGATGCCCAAAAAACTTTGAATACTGGCCGCTTAATATTAGAAATATTGAAGGATGAAGGTTGGAGCGCCGAGACGTCCAGAGGAGTAGGTTGGCGTGAAGGTTACTGGACAGCATTTCAAGTTAATGCTTGTGGCACGGGATTCAATACTATATTGAATGCCCCATCTGGCTCGCCCACAACAATCGGAATCCAAAATGTGTAACGGTCAGGAAGCACAGGTATCAGTACAAATAATTATATCAACCATGCGGAGAAAACCGTCAACATCAATATAATTACACTGAGAATGAAAACTAATTAAACGTCGGCAGCCTTAGTTGATTTCTTCAAGGTACTAAGCATATACCTAAGGTTAGATGAAGGTAGGGCTCGGCTTAAGCCAGCATAGACCACATCTCGGAACTTCGCTTATTTGCAATAATTATCGCGAATTATCATCTCCAACACTTTAGCTTAGGAAAATCCGCCATTGTAGCGCCAACTATGAGCTTTTGCGCTCATGTGATAATTCCTGGACAGCTTTCCCTGGCTCATAGTTGAGTAGGGATTTTGCTCTATGGCTAGTGTCTGAGCTGAAAGCCGTTCAAACATATTCACCTTCTAGGTTCCGACAAGCCTATGTTCTTGCCCAATATAGATCGAAATATTTACTAAGAAAAAGGGGTTTAAGTCACTAGCACTACTTGATAAGAAATATTATTCATCAAATCTGAGCCATAGATGAATTTTTTGTTCAATTGATATCAACAGTAATTACAAAAGTTAAGTCATAAGTCTTATTCTATCGAACTGTGGACCACTCCTGTACTTGATCCTTAATTTGACCCAGTTTCTCGTAACCCCGAATCATACTACTATTGGTTTGAGTCATCAAATTGTGACTCCTTCAGATTGATTTAATGCTAGAGATTAAAAAGATTACACAAAAGCCTGGGTGTCGGAATATATCTAGCTGGAGTTTGTTTTATAATATGTTTAAGCCCAAAGATAGTGCTCTAATTACACCTTGGGTCCAAGGCCGGCGGAAATCATTGCTTTAAGGCCCGGCTCATTCAACCACAGGGCCAACTACAGATACAGTAGAAGTTAGATTAATACAGAGAAGACACCACCTGCTTTTGGAAATATCCTGGAATGAGATGGGCCAAATATTTCTGGAACAAAAGAAGAAATTGGCTAAAAAAGTGGCATGTTTGGATTACAGCTAAAAGTGTAGGAAGTGTGCGCTGCAAGTACAATTATAAGCGACACAAAGCCTAAGCCAAAGTATAAAAGAGTGTGGCGCCATCTAGGCATAGGAAGCCCTCAATAACCTCCTTGTGCCTACGCCATATAGCCGCTCATGTCTCCAATAGGTAGCCTGAAGCGCTACCATATTACCCGTTCCAACCTCTTAAATACACACAAGATCGTGTCGGGAACCTAGAAGAAATGTAGGGCCCGTACGTCCACAAAACCCGGATCAAAACTCCCTTCTTGATCCTAAAATTAGAGTATATACAACTTTTCCTCAGATAAACGACACTTCTCGCCCCGTTCCCTTTTGTGTCATGCACTGTGGCAATGAATAGTTAAGCCGATCTCAACTGAGAGCATTGGATCAGTGGGTAGACTGGCTAACAAAGCAGCCGGTTTCCTGCGTAGAGAAAGAGGTGTGTTTATTTTCCTACTTGAGTCATAGAATATTTAGCACATTGGGCTCCTCTCGGGCCCAGGCCACACCTTATATAGTGCTCCTTGCCTCTTATGTTCCTTGAAAGATCATTGATATCTTACCCTTGATGAATAGCCATTCAGCTCAGTGTTTACCCGTGGAATCCTGCCACCTTTTCCACGGAACCTTTCACCCAAAAAGTAAAATGGTAGCAATGGAAACTGCGTGCACGGGAAAAGGTCTCAAAAAGAAACTGCAGCTCCAGACAGGCGAGGCCTAGACACCGGGACAACATGAGGTGCGTATATTCATCTATATCTCCCTTGTTTGTAATAGTCGAGGTCGACTTGATCCAATCAACCATCGCCGTATCGGGTGCTGGGTACGCTCCGAAAACTCATCGGATGGCTTTTCCTCCGTGATAATGGTGATAGGGGAATGTGTTGAGATATGGAGATGATACAGACCGCGAAAGCGATTGGGAATCCTCGTCGAAGTGAGGACTTTGTTACTCAATCTCGGCTCTGCAGACTCTAGGGTGAGAGCTGGAGGTTCGTAGGGGACACCACTGACGGGTGTTGAGAATAGTCCTGTCGCCGGATCAATTGGTGTTGGTATACAGCAGAGCAAGTCCAGAATAAAACCAGTTAATTAACGAAATCTAAAGGCGGAAGGTCTCCTACATCTTGCTATTTACGTAAGGGATTTTAATTAACGATGCTGATCATAACTGTCTCCGTTGCTTAGCAACCATTTCCAATCTCCACCCTTGGTAGTCTCTATAGCTGACTAGACCCTAGATTCCATCTCCACCGTACTGGCGCAGACAGTACACACACAAGGGAGTATTCCCGTAACAAGTCCCCCTTCCTGCGCAGGTTTTTAGAAGCTTTCGCTAGATGTGAGGCCGAGAAGCTTTTTAACAAAGTCAACGTGGGTCATTGTCTTTCTGAACCTGCACGTGAGTTGTGCGTGGTGTCTCGCAGCTCCAAACTACTAATATGTATATCAGAGCTTAAGACTACCGCCGTTTCAATCACGAGGGCGCTAACCTTCATTGTGGCCGCGGACAGCTCAAAGCCCCATTGCACTTCCTGGAATGCCACTTAACCACCCACTGACCCCCTCGAACTCCAGTATCTTCAAGGGATCCAAAAAAAATTTGCTAGGAACCTGGGAAGGGGTCCTACGTGAAGCAAAGTGGCTTTTTCTTTCTGGGTTTTACACAAGGACTTGCCCTAGAAATCACAGAGAATAAATAATTAGGTCTCAAACTCTGCCTCAACTTTGAGCCTTGCGTTATGGATGGATGGTGCAGTATTTCTGAATAGATCTAGTAGTAGCATCCCGAGAGTGATTGTAATACATCAAAGGAGTGAAGAGCCTTGGCGACTCGCTGTTAAGGTGTAGGTGCTACGCTACACGCTATCATGTAATTAGAGGTTGATTGATTGATTTATTTCTGAGGTCCCAGGCACCAGCCCAGCGCCTTATGGCACGGGACTGGTGGGCTCGGTAAGGATTATCCTAGATAGCTATGCCCTACTCGTTTCCACCACACTGTCACTATGTGACTCTGATTACAAACATACAAAAACCAAAAGAAATAGCAAAAAAACCAACTGAAATTAAGCAAAATAACACGTGGGAGCGGTGCTAGTATTTCTCATCTTATGCCCCCCCCAGTCATTTCTCTCGTCCTGAAAAAATAATCACTTCAGCCCTCGCATCCAGCTGAGGGCGGGTCTGCATCCATGCTCCCAAAGCAGCCGGTATTCCTTGCAAATTCTATGAACTTCTCGAGACCCTCTGGTCCAAGGAGTTGGTCGATATAGTCCTCCACGGTCATGGATATTCCCAACCTGCGCATTATAGCAGCATTCTTCCTGCATCAGATAAAATGAGTTGGCGTTGTCATTTGTCCACAGACGCATTCCAGTTTCCCGTCTTCGTGGTTCAGGCGGCGGTGATAGTCCGCAAAGTCTCCATGTCCTGATCTTGCTGCCAGGAGTTTATGGAGTAATCGTCGAGAAAGACCTAGTTCTGGTGGTTTCCGACGTCGCATCTGTAAGTCCAGGTCTCGATATCTGTCCGGACCCGACTTATTCCACCATTCTTCCACTAGTTTCTGTCGGAGATTGTGCATCAAACGGCGTATGTATGCCTGCGTTGTCTGCACTGGCTGCATCTGTCTATCTAGCAGCAGCTGAATACCAGCTCGGGCTTCTACGTCCGCTTCTTCGTTGCCACTAATATTAGAGTGTCCCGGCACCCACCTCACTATCACGTTAGCTTCTGAAGCGAACTTGTGAAAGACGCGGGTTATCTGCAGCGACGATGATGACTTCCCCGTCCGAAGCGCAAGTACAGCTGCCTGATTGTCAAGAAGAACGAAGATTCTCTCACGGTTCTTTCGAGCGCGCTTAGCTTCCCAAAGTGCTACTGCTACTCCAGCAATTTCTGCATCATAAACTTCACCGCCATGTAGACGACCGTGACCTTGTGCGAATGTTTGTCCTCCGCGTTGGAGGACATATCCCCACGAGGATCGTCCATGGCCTTCAGATGACCCATCAGAGTAGGCGCATATGTAAGAGGGAGAGATCGTGCTAGCCCAGTTGTAGTGTGCTTTAACTCCTTCTTTCGTTCCAAAACTAGATGTGTACACTGGGCCTGCCAGCCCTTCTGCCTCTTCGGATGACTCCGGGAGCTGTCGAAAAGCACGCTGTAGGCGCGACACCTGGGTTTCTGGTTGGCGCTTGACTCTCTTCCTTAGCTTGTACTTTTGCGAGCCAACGTTAGGGCACTCGCTTGCGCGGTTCCGGGGAGGGTGACGGTCATAGAGCGACTGGATCCTGGCTGCTAGACGGAGTAGAATTCCTTCGAGGAGAATCTTCGCCGGTGGGATGCCCCTTTCCCTATGAAGAAGGACATTAGGCGAGGTCTTCCAGACTGGTAACGCGGCACGTAGGGCTAGTCGAGTGGTTTTGTCGATCAGACTACATAGGTGTGTAGTCTGTGGCGTTGAGGTACCTTTCTTCGTTGGCCGTGTTAGTCCGGGCCACCACACATCCGCTCCAAATGTTGCTACTGGTACGATGCATGAGTCGATGGCGGTAACCAGAGGACCTGGGGCCGCTCCTCGTCGAAGTGGGTTAAGTAGCCGCATGTGCTGGGCAGCTTTGGAGCCTTCCCGCACTAGGTCGCTACATGGTGCTTGAAGGTGAGACGCGGATCAAGGTGAATTCCAAGCCAACGAATATGCTCCGCCGGCTGGACTAGCCTACCGCCAACTTTTATTCCTACCGATTCGCCCTGATTTCTCCCTTTGAATTGGATCACCTCAGACTTGTCGAGGTCGAACAAAACCGCGTTCTCTTCAGCCCATTTCAGAAGATTGTCGACCTCACCTTGTGCCGCCATCACAGACTCGGCTAACGAGCGACCGATGCCGAGAATCCCAATGTTGTCCGTATAGTTAAATCGTGCTCTGCACTTCCCGTTTCGCATGGGCTCGGCCATGTATAAAAGGAAGAGCAACGGAGAGATCGGCGATTCCTGTGACACCCCTAGCCTCAAAGATCTTGGGCTGTTCACGCCTCCCGGATATTGTGCCTGTACCCTCCTCCCTTTGAGAAAGGAGGATGTCCATCGTAGTACCGAGTCTGGCCAGCCTTGTGCCTGCATTCGCCATAGTAGCCGGTTGTGTAGGACAGCGTCAAATGCTCCTTGTACATCCATCGTAACAAAGGTGGATGCCCATCCTTGAGATCGAGCCTCCTCGACATCGTGCACTACTGAGGATACCAGATCATTTACCGATCATTCTGGTAGTGCGCCAAACTGCCGGTGGCCTACAACGTCTAAAGTGATGGCTAATGCTGACATGCTTTTCGCAAAGATTCTTTCTAGCCCCTTGCCTAGACATGAGAGAAGTGCAATTGGTCTCCATCCTTTGGCCGTTGATAAATCACGACCGCTCTTGGGTAGGAATATGACTTCCGCCAGCTTGAAACATGCCGGATGGTAACCAAGTCTCAGACATGCTTGAAAGAGTTGTGTTATATATCTCCCAATACTGCTCCAGCATGCGGCTAGCAATTCTACTGAGATTCCGTCTGCACCAGGACAGGTATTACCTCCTCCAATAGTACATGACTGAGCTTCCAGCTCTGATATCTCCTCAAACCATGGAATCCGAGGCTCTGCTGGCCTTGTGCAAGGTGGAAGATCGTCTGTTTCCGAGTGACGTTCCAGTAGTAGATCGCGCAAAATCATCGCTCGCTCTGCCTGGTCTGACACAAGCTTCATATCATGCCGAAGGGGTGGCGGGATTTTTTGATGTTTCGGGGCCGCCCACCTCATCATCTTGTAGACGTCCGAGCACAACCGCATCGTTTCTATCCGCTTCTTCTAGTGCTCTCTCTTGGCTGATGCTACTGTATACCTCAGGATTTTGGCGTAGGTAGTCTGTTCTTCCTCGGTATATGCCGAGCGATAGTTAAGATGAGCCTCTTTGCACTTTGGAGTCCACCAGGGCGCAGACCTACCGCTTCCTTGACTACGTATCTTTCCGAACGCTTTCAATCCGTCTGTTAAGGCCTAACAAATCGCTTCTGCGTATCTCTCAACATCGCTAGTCGACTCAAAGGATTGCGGAGCTGAGATCCACTGAGATACTGCTCGTACGAAGTCCGGAAGCTTTTCTTTCGAGACTCGCAGTGAGCCTTGACATTCTTCCTCTGCATGACTTTTACTAGTTACCAAGCCGCAAATAGGAAGATGGTCGCTTGTCACATACTCACTCCGCTCTGCCCACGCCTATGCCCCCGCGACATTTGTCCATACTAGATCAAGCGTATTTCCAGCTCGATGCGTAGGCTCCCCAATGATAAGACAAGTGAGGTGGTGTTGCTCAGCCCAGGCCTGTATTTTCTCGCCGTGACCATACGAGCGCGTTGTACCCGTGTGCCATGCCCAGTAAACAGAGTTGAAGTCGCCTGCGATTATTGATGCTGGCGGGGGTACCCAGTTGATTACTGGTTCGATTGCTGCGTCGTTATTGTGCGCCTTGTACACATTGAGAAATGTGACATTGTTGACAACTACCCAGCAGTAGTCTCCAGTCAGCGAAAAACATGGGAAAATCTTTTTGGCAAATATTTTCTTCTCCTTCGTTCGAGTGTACGTTACGGCTCGTGGTCGAACGCCTATCGCGCCGTGCGGGATGTGTAGAGTGTATCCAGGGTGAGATTTTGTCTCGCTGGACCACCAAGGCTCCTGTACAAGCACAACATCAATCGCTCTCTCGAAAGCTCGAGAAAGCGCAATGTCGTGCGATGGAGCCCCCCTACCAACATTTATTGACATAAACTTGAGCTTTGGTAGGGATGAACGACGCCGTGAGGCGCCTTTCATGAACGGGGGGTGGCATTAGTCGGCGTGACTAATGCGAGTGGTAAGGCGGGCGAGCCTGGGCTACTCGCACTTCCTGATCTAGTGTTGGCGAGGCTGTCTGCTCGCGTTTTGTCAACCGCCGCTTTTGCCCTCCTGACCGCCTCGAACTCACGGTTGCCGGCGTTTCGGATTGTGAGGAGCTGTTCCTTAGTCAGCGCTCCAGCACGAGTTGGTCGGGCGAGACAGTTCCGGCTATCAGCGCGATGAGGACCTCCGCAGTTGCGACATCTAGCTGCAGCAAGACATTCTCTTTCTGAATGCGTCAGTGAGCCACAGTTTCGGCAGGCTGGTGTCCGAGAGCAGCCGCCGGTACTGTGGTACCCAAAGCAACATTTGCAGATTGCTTGCGTTTGACGCTTCGGGACTGTGGCTGCCCGTCCAGAGTCGTCAAAAAGTCGGAATCCCGTTCGAGGGGCAGATCCGCTCTCGAAAAAGGCTACCCAATTACGGTATCTGGCTCCGTACTTGCTCTTACCGTGCCGCCGCACGGAATTTGGTGTCACCCCAGTGACGCGTTCTATTTCAGAAACAATGTGGCTTTCCGAAATAGTCCCTTGCCCATCCAGCGGGATAATGTGGACGGGTATATTAGGTAGCATGAGGCTAGCCCAGTTTCTTGCTGGCTCGAGGCTAATGTCTTGCGGAAGGCGGCTCGCACAGCTCAAGAGCAGCTTTCTTGCATCCTCATCTTTGGCAATGAGAACGAAGCCAGCTGCTGTTGGCAAAATCTTGTCAATATTTGTCGGGGAACAGCCAAACTTACTAATGACTGCTACCCGAATTCCAGCAGTCGAAAGTGACCTCCAATCGTGATTCTTGGTGATCCGAAGGTATAGACCATCCTTCTTCTTTCCCTCTGGCTCCTTCAATCTATGACTAGGACGAGATAAAATCTTTGCAGTTGGAGGACT